CCCCTCCCTGTCTCCCCTTCTCCCCCCTCCCTCTCTTCCTCCCTTCTTTCTTTCAGCTTTATTGAGGTGTAATTGACAAGTAAAAATTGTATATGTTTAAGGTGAACAACTTGATGTTTTGATATACATATACATTGTAAAAGGATCACCACAGTTGTTAACATACACATCATGTCACAGTTACTGCTTAGCAAATTTCAAGTAGAGTACGGTATTGTTAGCATAGTGTGTACCTTTGAACTCAGATTGCATAACCGAAACTCTGCACCTTTGACCTCCTCGTCTCCCCCACCCCCAGACCTAGGCAACCATCATTCTGTGTGATAGCTCTTATCTGTCTGCTGTCAGTGGCTCTGTCTACACCCATTGTATCACCCAGCAGATCCAGAATCATTTCTCTGTTGCATCATCAAGCTCACTGATACTAAACTGGTCTCGTTTCTAGTTGCTCTTTGCCTTCTTCATCTCAAGGCTTTGCTTTCTCCCTGGCTACCACTCCTAGGGTGAAATTAGGCCTCCTGGTCTTCTCATGTACTCTCGAATGGCCATGTGATCAGGGATCTCACTGGGCTCATCTCTCTGGTCTTATTTCCTTGGACATATTTCTCCAAAGTCACACTGGGCAGGGCAGGTCTCACCCCAAGCACCATGTGTCTTCACTCAGCTCTTAGTCATTCAGTTCAAGTCTCCAAATAAAGTTATTTGAAAATTTGTGAGGTGCAATTTTGTATCTTTTTATTTTAACAAAAATACATGTCTTACTGATGACAGTATAAATTGTTATTCCCTATTGGAAAGCAATTTGGGATGAAAATTGCTAGAACCATAAAAAATATGCTATCCTCTGTGTACCTCCATTCCATACACCCTCAGGGATGTATCCTAGAGACATAATTTTAAAAGAAAGAAGTCACTGTAGGATAGAAAATGTTATTGCTATAATAATTGTTATTGTGAGAAATTAGAAATAGGCTAACCACTTAGCAGTATGAGAATAGTCAGTGAAATTATAGCAAATATAACCTATGAAATCATTATGCTTCCATTAAAATAATAAATATGAAGCCACATGGGGAAAACAGCTTATGTTAGTGGAAATGAGACTGATTCAGAAAGTAGCCGTGTTTGGCCCCTTGGAGAGTCCATCTCAGTAGAGCCAGGGTTCCATCATCCCCTCGAAGCTGGGACAGGAGTTCAGCTGCTCCTCCTTTTCCATGACCTGAGTGTGAAGCTGGCCCCTTGTTTGGGCAGCACCTCTGTGCAGGCCTCTGCCCCAGGCCTCTGGGCCTGTGCATTGAGCACCGGATTGGGTTGTCTTGTTTTTCCATATTGACCCGCGTGGGAGCCAACCGGCTAGGGAATAAGGAATGGAAGACAGGCCCTCCTTTGCATCAGGACCCATGTGTTCTGCAGTTGGGAAAGGCCATATTTTACTTGGTTTAATAATGGTATTATTTCCCCAAACTAAACAGCAGGAGTAGGTTTGTCTTTCTTTAGTTTAGAGATAGTCTTTATGAGGAGCCATCAGACGGGGTCTCAAGAGAGGAAGGTAATAGGATGCAGTGGGAAGGTGCAGTAGAATCAGAGCCATTTCGTATTCTGGCTTGGCTACATATCAGCTGTGTGTCCTTATGTTAGGGACTTGGCCTCTCTGAATGTCAGTTTTCCCATCTGTAAAAGGGGAACTATTAAAGATACCTTCCTCATGGAGTTGTGTGAAGTAAAGCACATAAATAATTCAGTATAGTAACTGTGCAGAGTAAGTATGATTACTATTGTTATAGTAGTTACTACTGTTAAGCTAGCTTGTTGGATCCAGTGGAAAACATAGGGACTCTGCATTCAGACTGGTCTGGCTTTGAGTATCAGCTCCATGACTGTTAGCTTTTGACTCAGTCTTGGTAAATCATATTTATTTTTCAACCCCAATATTCTCCTCCTTAAATGGGGACCTTGTTAGTTATCTCACTGTTTTCTGTGAAGATAAAAACAAGGAGACAGCCTATGTGAAGGGTTTTGTAAGCCATGTGCTCATCAAGACTTTGATGTTTACTGCTTATGATTTCCCATTGGAATGGCAGACGCTCTTGAACAGCAGAGGCAATGACCACTTCTGGAAACAGCGCCTGGCCGGCTTGGATTGGACAGCAGAAGATATCGTGGCCTTTCTGGCCAAACACCCAGAGGACGTGGAGTCAGAGAATGGCTCTGTGTACACCTGGAGAGAGGCTTTCAATGAGACCAACCGGGCGGTCCAGACCATCTCTCGCTTCATGGAGGTGAGGATCTGTCCTGTGCATCCTTTAGAAAAGGCTGTGGTGTTTTGTTTTGTTTTCCCTCTGAGCTGGTGCAATCAGTCAGATTGGAGGACTTTTTAAGAATAATATACATACTTGTTTATAGTAGTATTCCTCAAACCTAACCCAGCACTTGGTGTACAAAAGGCCCTGGATAAATGTTAGCTGAATGATTGAATGAGTAAGTAAACAAACCCAGCACTAGCTTTAGTCTGTCTGACCCAAGAGTGTTTCTATCCATTGTCTTTTGGGTTTTCTCATGTTTGGATATTCCAGTACCCAATGGCCACAAAGCAGTCCCTTAAGGCATTGTTTTGAAACTTATCTAAAATCTAATCAAGCATAGTACATTTTAAAAAATTCAGTCTTAAAAAAATGATGTCACTTCGTAGGGACAAAGAAAAGGTTTCTGTTTATTTATTTGGTTAGTTGTTAATGACTCAAAATTGCTAAGAAAACAGTGAGGAGAAGGAGGCGTGGTCTTTGTTTGACCCGCTTTCCTGCCACAAAAGTCAGTGTAAGTAATTTACCTCTAAATTTCAGTTAAGAAACTGGACCCATTTTCAATTGAATATTGGAAAATGACCTGAGGGAAGATTTCGTAGAGCGAGGTCTGCCCCGGCCACTGCTTGTTTTTCTGGCTACCAGAGTTCTCACGATGGCTGTGCTTCCTTCAGTGTGTCAACCTGAACAAGCTGGAACCCGTCGCGACAGAAGTTGGGCTCATCAACAAGTCCATGGAGCTGCTGGATGAGAGGAAGTTCTGGGCTGGCATCGTGTTCACCGGAATTACCCCCGACAGCGCCGAGCTGCCCCATCACGTCAAGTACAAGATCCGAATGGACATCGACAACGTGGAGAGGACAAATAAGATCAAAGATGGGTAAGTCCCACTCCCGGCCCACCAGCCAGCTGTGGGCGAGGCAGCAGCAGCTAAGGTGACTGGGGGGGCTTAATTTTATGGACCAATGTGGTAGAAGCTCAAATGGGTGGCATGATTTGGGTGAAATGGCCACGTTTCTTGATGGAGGCAGTAATTTCAAAGGTCATAAAATGTCATCATCTTTTTTTAAGTAAAATATTATCTTTTTATTTCGCATTCTCCCTCAAGGGAATTAATCCCAGAGAATTAAATCAACAGAAAAAGAGAAAACCAAAAAGACTTTAGGTTCCCCATGCTAGCATTATCCATTTTTGTTAAAAAGGGGAAATAAACAATATGGAAGGGAGTCCTGTCAGGTAAATTTTCGTATGTCTACTAGATGCAATGTTAGGTATTCATTGGAGGCGGGGAAAGCCAAACTAATCAATGGCCTGCTCTCTTTCTGGTATCTATTTAAATATATGTGTACATGTCAACTGACACCAGAAGGTAAGATACAAAAATGAAAACAGTGGCTTGGGAGTGGTGATGGGATTGTGGGTGATTGGATTTTTTATTGTATAGTTCTAAGGAATGTTTGATGACCTGTGGCTTGGTTTCAGGTACTGGGACCCTGGTCCTCGGGCTGACCCCTTTGAGGACATGCGGTACGTCTGGGGGGGCTTCGCCTACCTGCAGGACGTGGTGGAGCAGGCAATCATCCGGGTGCAGACAGGCATTGAGAAGAAAACAGGCGTCTACGTGCAGCAAATGCCCTATCCCTGTTACGTCGATGACATGTAAGTCACCAGGAAGCCACCTTCTTTATGTAGTCGGCCAGCACTGTCCCCATGTGGAGGGTAGACGTATGCACATGCCAAGGGAGGAGACAGAATGCTTTGATTGTATTTATTTTACATGGGTGTTGATACCGGTCAAAAGCTGTTTTTGAAATTCTGTGTAGATTTCAGGAAATGAGATGCCAGATGTAGGTAGCTGACAGTTTGAGCCACATCAGAGAAACGTGCACATGCACAAACACACTGGTGATCCTCCCTCCCTTGTCCATGGTTACCACTTTTTTTTTTTTTTTTTTTTACACACTCTACTTTTTTGGTCAAAATTTCCCAAATTTCCCAATCTGCATGTTTAAAATACATCATGACAAACTCATGTAAGTGTCCCAATCGGCAAGTTTAAAATACGTCATGACAAACTCATGTAAGTGTCCCAATCGGCAAGTTTAAAATGCATCATGACAAACTCATGTAAGTGTCCCAATCGGCAAGTTTAAAATGCATCATGACAAACTCATGGAAGCACGTGCGCGCACACGCACACTCCCCAAACACACACACACACACACACATTCACTCACTCACTCACTCACTCACTCACTCACTCACTCACCAAACACACACACTCTCCCCAAACACAGGGACAGCGTTTTAGACCTGTAAAAGTTCACTGCATGTAAATGTGTCCACTTCCTTTCGTCATTGGTAAACCACATTTTGAAACAATCCAAATAAAAGTGAACAAGTCCTTTTTATCTTAGACTTTGAAGATAATCTTTTAGTGCTTAGTTACTGTGCTGCCAAGTTCTCACTGTGGGAACTGTGCCTTTGGATCTAATGATTTCTCGTAAGAGAGAATGGCGGGGGGTGAAAGTATTGCAGGCGTCTGAAATAATGTTTCTTCCCAATTGGAAAGTCTCTGTTCTCTGTTGTGGTGTGTGTGTTTAGATAGAAATCAGAGTGTGGAAGGAACAGGGGTCCTCTCCTTGTGCTTGCTCTCTGCTTTGCATTGAACAATCTATTTCCTTGCATGGCTCACTCTAGCCTTTCCACGTCACCTGGGATTATCTTGCTTTTTATTTTCAGAAAGATTAGCCAGAATTTTCCAAAGGAAGACTTTTCCAGAGACCCCTAAGCCCAGATTCACTCTAGAAAGGATGCCTTACGAGGAGGACATTATAGGAGTTCGGAGGCTTTAAGGGCCTTTGCTATTGTTACACATCAGTACGAGCAGAAGTGGTAAAGCTGGACCTTGGACCTGGATCTTCAGGGTCCAGATCCTGTGTCCCATTTATTTCACTGCATTTTCTGTTCTAGTTTGGAAATATCCCTGACAAGAGCTGCCTGATGTGTATTTCTGCACTGTCTGTCATGACGGTTATGCAAGGCAAGTCGGTAGTGAGATGAGAAATGTGGGAGACGTTGAACTTCCATGAGAGAACGGAATTGTATTTTTGGTTTTTCTGTTTCAGTAATTTAAAATCACCCACATTCAGCTTAATGACATCCCACAGTTACCTAGTTACTAAAGCAGGCTCCCAAAGAAGCTTGCTTTGGCAGTACTTTGTTGGTCTAATTTTTATCACTACACGGCCCTGCTCACGAAGCCTTTGATAAGATAACCGGTAGGTGTCAGAGTCCAGAGGGCCTGCCCCGGCTCTGGCTCAGCCGTGGTGCCCCCTTGCGTGCAGGCCCCGAGGCGTTGGCCCGGGAGTCCGGCTCACACTTGCCTTTAATTCTCCCCCCTCCCTTTCCTCGGGCCTCCAGCTTCCTGCGGGTGATGAGCCGGTCAATGCCCCTCTTCATGACGCTGGCCTGGATTTACTCCGTGGCCGTGATCATCAAGGGCATCGTGTATGAGAAGGAGGCGCGGCTGAAGGAGACCATGCGCATCATGGGCCTGGACAATGGCATCCTCTGGTTCAGCTGGTTCATCAGCAGCCTCATCCCTCTGCTCGTGAGCGCCGGCCTGCTGGTGGTCATCCTCAAAGTAAGGCTGCCTCACCGCCCGTCCCTGCGGGGAAATCCTGCGCCGCCCAACACGCCGCCTGAGGATAGGAGAAGCAAAAGATTCTTTGGGAGGGAAGGGTTCAGACATGCCACCTCCTGCAATACCCTCACTTCATAGTTGGAAAAAATGAGGCCCAGAGAGGGGCAGTGACTTCCCCAAGGTCAGCCCAGCTGGTTAGCAGCTAAGCAGGATTAAAACCCGGGGTGCTCTCTTCCCGGGTAAGCACACACTTAACAGAGGCTCATGGCAGCGCCTCCTTCCTCATATTAGGCGGTGATTCTTCTGCAATATCTCGAAACCATAATCAGAAAGATACATATTGTTGCAGGTTAGGTTTTCTGGAAGCAGGGGCTGAAACAGTTTGGTGTAAAAATATTCATTAGGGATCAATATCTCCGGAAGGAATCGAGAGGACGCAGGATTGGGCCGAGAGAGGAGTTGAACTGCAATGCAGGACCAACCCCTGGGCACTAGGAGCAGATACAGTTCGTCAGAGTTGTCCCTCACTGAGCTGAAACGTCCGGTGCTTTAGGTTCCCCAAGGCCTCCATCCCTGACATCCATGCCCCAGGCCCCTCAGTCAATCATTGGCAGTGTGTGTGCCCCAAGCCAGGTGGCTCTCTGCAGCAGTGACAAGCCCAGAGCAGTTGATACCTGGAGACCGTCTATTGCCTGCCAGACAAGTTCCCCTAGAAGGGGACTCTGGGCACAGTTCTGTGTCCACCACATACATTAATAAGTTTATATGCCAGTTTTTTTTCTCCACAATCATTTCATTTAAGGATGCATCAGATAAAAATAAAAGTTTGTAAAGAGGGGGGAGTGCAGAGGCATAGGAACTAACACACAATGTAATACGAGTTACTCTACATTATAAATGAGCACATATTGATTGCCAAGCACTGTTTAAAGCACATCACAGGTGCTGTCTTAGTATTTCCTCACTCAATAACCCATTTAACGTGCAAGAGAATGAGGCCAAGGAGGGTTATGGACTCACCGAGGTCATCTGACAGTTGGGCAGAGCAGTTCTTACTAAAATCAACCCCCTCTCATGCTTTGATACCTGACCGTGAGGGGTGGAGCTCTGTGGCGGGAGTAGAGGTCCTGTGGCAGGTGCATGAGAACTGGTCTGGGGCAACTGGCAGGTCCTGCTCAGATACACCCAACTACTGGAGACGCCACGTAAAGATCCACAGGAGTTCCGAGGATTGTGGGAATGTGGAATCCATGGCAGGGTGTCCGGGGGGATATTAAGATTGCCTGGCCATTTCCCTTGGCTTCTGGTGGGAGAAGTCTTGTGGGTTGCTGTCACTCTCATGACTCTTTCTTGGTGCCAGGAGTCATAGTCCTTTAAAAAAGAAACCAGGTCATATTACTTTGAGAAACAAAGTACACAATTATTGAGATAAACCTTGATGAGTGTCAACCTTGGACTCTGTTCTGGTCCTGACTCTACCACTGTTTTGCCGTGTGGTCCTGGGTTAGTCATTTCCCTTCTCTAGGCTTCCTCATCAGAAAAATGAACAGCTCTCTGCCTCGATATCGTCTCTGAGATGAGTAGGAATACCCCTGCTTCGTCCCATAGATCGCGCAAGGATGTGCCTACTTGTGGAAGCAGCACGTTTATTGGGTTTCTTCCTTCACAGCTGGGAAACCTGCTGCCCTACAGCGACCCCAGCGTGGTGTTTATCTTCCTGTCCGTGTTCGCCGTGGTGACCATCCTGCAGTGCTTCCTGATCAGCACGCTGTTCTCCAGAGCCAACCTGGCGGCGGCCTGTGGAGGCATCATCTACTTCATGCTGTACCTGCCCTACGTCCTGTGTGTGGCCTGGCAAGACTACGTGGGCTTCTCGCTCAAGATCTTCGCGGTGAGTGACAGCCTGTCTGCAGTAGCCGCTGTCCCTGCCACCCCTGGGGTTTCACCTCCGTGTTACAGTCCAAGTGCAGGAAAGAAGCCGAGAGAGTCTCCTTCCAATGGGATGTGAACCTCAGTGCTAGGTTCTAAGCTGCTTGAAGGCAGGGGTTGTGTCTCATTAAATTGTTTATCTTCAGTCCTCTCTGCATGCTGGGGGAATGGAATCGGACAAAATTTTTCAGAGAGCCGGGCTGTACCATACACCCAGCTGGGGATAAATAATATTGGGGAACCCCTTAGACAGTCGATGCCATCTCCACCTTTTATCTCCACCCCGCTGACCGTGTTAAGCTCACCAAAGTCACTGCTCCATCTAGAACTGAAAGCTCTTGAGGTCACAGATGACTCCTATGTTCCTTGTGCCCAGCGTGGGGTTTCGCTTGAGTGATGTTTTCTGAACGGAAAATGAGCGAGGAGCAGGTGGCCCATCTCCCCGCAGACCCCTGCTCTCAACCTTTTCTTCCCTTGTACATAGTTGGAGGGGCCTTCAAGGGTGTGCCAGCCCATATAAGGGCGAGTTGCAGCTGCCCCCTGGTCACTTATGAGTCATCCACAGGGTGCTCCAGGTGCCTCAGTTTGGACCCCTTAAATATCAGCAGCCCCAGGCAGGCTGCTCTGACATGAGCCATCACTGGTTGAGCAGGGGGCTCAAGGGGACCTTGATGGATGTATGAGTGTGTGTGTGGGCCGCAGTGTTGTTGAGCCCTTGGGGCATCTCCGGAAGCATAAAATTCCAAAAGTTTCATACTTCATCATTCATACGTTTCTGAAATGCATGTGCATAATGAGTGGTTATAAATAGAATCATTTCCTATGCTGCCAAGGAGCCCACTCCCCTAAAGGGACTCATAGGTGAGTACTTCCATGCCTTATAATTGATCCATTTTATAATTCAGATTTCTGCAGGTGAAATTTACGTGAGAAGTGTTAGGAAATGAGACAGGAGCTGGATAAGTGACTTTTGCCTTTTTCTCACAGAGCCTGCTGTCCCCTGTGGCTTTTGGGTTTGGCTGTGAGTACTTTGCCCTGTTCGAGGAGCAGGGCATTGGGGTGCAGTGGGACAACCTCTTTGAGAGCCCCGTGGATGAAGATGGCTTCAACCTCACCACCTCGGTCTCTATGATGCTGTTTGACACCTTCATCTATGGGGTGATGACATGGTACATCGAGGCTGTCTTCCCAGGTACCCTGAGCTTCCACACTGCCTTCGCCATCTGTGAGGGAAATATGATTTTTAGCTGCAGAACTTGTCTCCCTTTTTGCTGGAATTTCTGTAAGGCCTGGGGCTCCCTGGAAAGTGGCTAGAGCTTTAGGCCTATGGCAAGCACATAGATCAAGGAGAAGCAGCTGATGCTGAAAGTACAACTCTTACTACTCATATTGCTCTTATTTCCTGAGCACTGCGTGCTGGGCACTGTACGAAATGCTTTATATACTTTGGTTCATTTAAAATCCTCATAAGACTACTCTGAAGGAGTTACTGTTACGACCAGTGTTTGCAAATGAGAGAACTGTGACTCAGAGAAGTTAAATAATTGCCCGTGGGTGCACAGCTAGTAAGCATTGGTGCATGGAGGGGAACCCAGTGGGCTACGCTGGGTCAGCTGGCCCAGGAGATTCCTCCCAGGGCTGACCCAATTCTCTTAATTCTGCCTCCCTAGAACTACCAGTGGTGGTGGTTCTGTTTCCTCAGTACAGCTTGTGAATAACAACTATATTGGCCCGAAGCCCTGGCTTGTGATTTAATCGAATTAGTATTCATAAAAATGTATTCGATACTTCCCTTCATAAATCTCCTTGACCAAGACTGTCTTGGGCACATTTTTATGTAAGATCAAATTCTGAGAGAGCAAGGTTTAACTCTTTCTGGTTTATCTTCTAATTTTCCTTTAAGGGGGTGGGAGGTGGTGTATGTGAAATGTTTATTACCCCTACCTGAACTTCCTACATGGGATATGCAATTTTGTATCATACAGATCTGGACTCAAATTCCGAGTCTTCCACTTACTGGCCCAGTCATCTTGGGTAGAGGACCTACCCCTCAGTTTCTTGATCTCTAAAATGGGAATGATAGCTGCTTCATGGGGTTGTTGGGAGACAGAGAGGTGCAGAACTTCTGTTGTAAATAGTAGATCTCACCAAATGTTAGCTACTTCTTCCCCCACTTCTATTCCAGTCTGTCCGGTCTCCACAGGCAGTGCCAAGGAGAGAGAGGGTCCCGCAGGGGATATCTCAGGAATGCTGGAATGCGGCCGAGCTTGATTCATACCTGTGCTTTGCTTTCAGGCCAGTATGGAATTCCCAGGCCCTGGTATTTTCCTTGCACCAAGTCCTACTGGTTAGGTGAGGAAAGTGATGAGAAGAGCCATCCTGGTTCCAGCCAGAAGGGAGTCTCTGAAAGTAAGTGCTGCTTTCCCCACTGACTGCTGGGGGGCAAGAGTCTAAAACCACTCCAGGGACAGAGGAAGCACACGCAGTGTCCCTTTCCCAGTTCTCCCATGCTGTTTGTGTCCAGCGCTGTTGACTTACCAGGGAGTCACCATCTGAGTCCCTGAGGGACGTTTTCTTTGTTTTGTTGGCTTCTTGGAAAGTGACTCTAAACCCCCCCCTCTTTCCTCCCCCAACCCTTCCACTTTCCATGCTATCCTAATAGCTAGAGGGAAGAGACAAAGAAAACTAATTGTGGAACCATAACCTCGCTGCTGCCTTGTCATGGTGATAGGTGTAGGAGCCCGCGGATGCTGATGCCAGGTGCCTGCCCCAGACCTCAGCCTGGGCTTCCTAATGTTCTCACCCTTCATTACCCGGAGCCTAATCCTCTCCTGGCTCCTGACCTGCAGGGGGTGATGCCTGGAGCTCAGCAAAGGCTCTGCCTTCTGGGCTCTTTGCTCAGGTTCTTAGAGGGAAACTGTGTTCACTGTGGCTTCCTCAGTTTTAATAAGTCCCTCTTCTGCTGATCCCTTCTGTGTCCTGCTCCCAGTGACCAGAGGTAAAGTGTAATGTTCCCTAGTGTGCTCTTCCTGCCCAAACTCCTCTACCTAGCCTCTGAATCAGCCACCTGGAACTGCTCACAGCTGCTGGAACGTGCCGCGTTCTTCCACAGCTCCCTGCCCGGCATGTAGTTTTCTCTCGCAGGAGAACCTTTTAAATTCCTACTTGCTCTTTAAGGTCTAGTTCAATATCCCTTCCCCTGAGTAGCCCTCCTAGCTTTCCAGGTAGTCAGTCACTTCCTCCTGAAATTCCGTAGCATCAAAAAAAACCCCCAAACCCTTTTTATTTAAAAATAACTATAGATTCACAGGGAGTTGCAAAAGGAAACTTGTACCTTTCACCCAGTTTCCGCCAATAGTGACACCTAACGTAACTATGTACGAGCTTAAACCCATGAAGTTGACATTGGTCCATTTCAGACTTTTAGATTTCACCAGTATTACATGTACTTGTGTGTGTGTGTGTGTGTGTGTGTGTGTGTGTGTGTAGTTTTGTGCAGTTTTATTCCTTGTATAGATTCGTGTAATCCCTGGTTCAGTCACAATGCAGAACTGTTTCATCATCACAAACTCCCTCATGCTGCCCCTTTATAGCCACAGCCTCCGCCCTTCCTCCCCATTCTTTGACACCTGTCAACCAAGAATCTGTTCTCCTCTTTGGTAATTTTATTATTTCCATAATGTCATACAAATGGAACCCTGCAGTATATAATCTTTTGAAACTGGTGTTTTATTCAGTGTAATTCCCTTGAGATCCATCCAAGTTGTGGTGTGTATCAACGGCTCATTCTTTTTCACTACTGAGTAGTATTCCACAAGATGGCCGTTCCACAAGTTCCATGGTACTTTGAATGTGTTTTTAAACAGCTTTTAGCTTCATATATTTTAATTGTTTGTCAAGTACCTCCCTGCTCTGCCCCCAGCCTGAATCCTCCTGTGTCATTCTATTCCTGTCACCAACACCAGTGCCCAAACAGGCCCTAAATAAATACAGCGGCGGGCAAAAGTAGGTTTACAGTTGTGAGTACATCGAACACAAGAGTTTATTCTTGTATTATTACTTATTTATTAATCACTGTATTATTATTATTATTAACCTACTTCTGCCCACCCCGTATTTCTGATCTGCCTGCCTTCCTGAGAAACCAGAAGTAAGCACGGAGAGAGGGCGGTTCTCAAAGTACAAGCACAGCTGCTGCGTCTTCACATTCCTCTCGTCTTTGTTTTCTGTCGGTTTATAGCTGTTTTCTCTCTTCTTGCAGTCTGCATGGAGGAGGAACCCACCCACCTGAAACTGGGTGTGTCCATTCAGAACCTGATGAAGGTTTACCGAAATGGCATGAAGGTGGCCGTCGATGGCCTGACCCTGAATTTCTATGAGGGCCAGATCACTTCATTCCTGGGCCACAATGGAGCTGGGAAGACCACCACCATGTAAGGAGAGGGTGTGGCTCTCTCAGAATCAGCCCCAGGAAGGTTCTTGAGTACAGTTAGAAATTCATACCTAAGAACATTGCGTTGGTCACTGGGGGCAGGACACACAAGGAGTTGATGAAGTGTGAAAACACTGTCTAATCATGACAGTGCTTTCCAAAGGCTAGTTTTTGCTTTATATTATTGATTCAGCCTAAAACAGTCTGGGGGCCTTTTCATGACAGTCCCATCCAGTTCTCAGAATTCGGCAGTGTTCTTGGAACCTGAAGTGGCGACGGCTCTGAGGAAGGTTCTCCTTTGGTGCCTGATTTGCTCAGAGCTGTGAGGCAAGAATGTGGAAAGGAAGATTAGATGTGTTGGAAGGAGGTGGCAATTTCCAGGAATTCTGTCTCTAAGCAGATGTGAGAAATAGCTGGGCGGCTGGCTGTATGATTGACTTCCCTGGGACCTACATGGACCTTCTAGTGGGCAGCTTCAGAAGGGCACATGGGCCGTAGAAACACCAGAGTCAGCTTCTGTGGCTTTCAGTGTGGTCCCTCAACCATTGCAAAGGATATATCATTGGGGCCGACCTTCTGTTTCTCTGCTACCTTTTTTTTAATGCAAAATCAGTATGTCATGAACATTGCAGAAAAATCTTTAAAAGACCTACAAAAATCTTACCACTTAACACAAAATTATTTTTATCTTTGAATAATTTGTTACTGTTTATCCATTTTATATGGACATGATCTTAGGCGTATAAAATGTATGTCTGAAACTGTACTTTCCATTGCAAATTGGAATCCATTAAAACAAATGCTCATACTGAAATTGTCATTTTCAGCACATGGGCCCCCTCCTAGTTATTCACCAAAGCAAAGACTTCTTTGCTTTGTGGGGGTGTCAGAGTCCATTGGGAAGGAGTTGGGGGTGGAGGGCTTGAGGCCTATGCTCTGTGCTGGCTTTGCAGCCATGAATGGAGCATTTCTGGAGAGGCAGGGTTAACGCTGACTCCTGGACTTGAACATTTTTGTCCTCAGGTCGATCCTGACTGGGCTGTTCCCTCCCACCTCGGGCACCGCCTACATCCTGGGGAAGGACATTCGCTCTGAGATGAATACCATCCGGCAGAACCTGGGGGTCTGCCCCCAGCACAATGTGCTGTTTGACATGTAAGTGCCAGCAGCATACGGAGGGGAGAACCTCTCTGGGTGTGTCATGAGTTGTGGGCGAAGGAGGACCTAAGCATCTTATGTTCTTTGGTCGTGGCCTTGCCTGGACACTTTGAGATCTAGTTGTCCTTCGATTTTAGGGAAAGGAGGAGGTAAAGTGTTGGACGGGAGATGTTACATCAATGCAGCCAAGTGGGCGGGGGCTTGGGAAACGGTGCTGTCCATTACTGTCATTCTGGAGGGTCAATGGCCCCATCCTTTCTCCTACCACAGCCCTCCCTGGTGCTGGGTTGCCCCACCAACAAGTAAGAGGCCCCCAGGGAGCCCTTGTGGTGGAGCAGAGGGAGACCTGATCTCTGTAACCTTGGCCAACTGCTCTATCCTTCTGGGCCCCAATTTCCTTTTATGTAAAGTAAGCAGCTCACACTCATGTCCCACACAGGGGTCTCCCTTCTCTCAGGGTTGAGGTCCTTTGAAGTTCAGGGGGCTGCTCCAGGTTCAAGCAGAGCCAGCTTATTGGTGGATGGGCTTTCAGAACAGGTCCTTGGAGGACCTGCAGTGGCCTGATGCACAGTGGCTGGACCTGCCAGGAAAGGTTGGAGGTGACCTGTCAAATCAGCTTCGGCTTCTTAGCAGCTCATGTGTTTTCTCACTGATGTTCTCCCTTGAATTCTCCTTGAAGATTATTTTTCAGTTGATAAAGTTCAAAAAGGATGGGGAGGAACCGTGTACCCATTCTCTCTGTCCTGGGTCAGGAGGCACTGTATTTGGGTGCACCCTGCAGGGCCCAGAGCTGAGCTGTCCCTCTGTCCCCAGGCTGACTGTCGAAGAGCACATCTGGTTCTATGCCCGCCTGAAAGGGCTCTCAGAGAAGTTTGTGAAAGCGGACATGGAGCAGATGGCCCTGGATGTCGGTTTACCGCCCAGCAAACTGAAAAGCAAAACGAATCAGCTGTCAGGTGAGGCTAAGAGCTGCCTTCCCTGCCCTCTCCCTCCCACTTACACACATACACATGCTCACACACACATACACACACACACACACATGCATGGACACACATGCACACACACACACATGTGCACACACACGTGCACACATACTGAAAACAGCTCTCCCCGAGTCCTCTGCTGGAGGTGGGTCAGAAACATGCCCTTGGCCTGTCCCCAGATGATCTGGGTGGCTCCATTGTTCTCCGGCCTTTTCTGCCTTCGCTCACTGTAGGTCCTCAGCCTCCCTCTCTCTCTCTTACAGGTGGAATGCAGAGAAAGCTGTCCGTGGCCTTGGCCTTTGTTGGGGGATCCAAGGTGGTTATTCTGGACGAGCCCACGGCCGGCGTGGACCCTTACTCCCGCCGGGGAATATGGGAGCTCCTGCTGAAATACCGACAAGGTAAACGATGTGCGTTTATTCTGTGTTGTGGGCTGGGATGGAGGAGGGAGGGCAGGCTCGAGAAGTGTGGCCGTAGCTAATGGCTCTTCTTGCTAGAGCAACGGAATGGCTCCTCCAGGAAAATGCGGAACTCGTTTTCTTAAAGCTCTGTGTGCCCCATGTGGAGGTGGGAGGCCTGGTTTACAAGACGCTTAAAGTTTATGCTTCCTGACCTAGGGGCCTGAAAGAAGAAGGGAGATGGGTATACAGGGCAGCTCCTCTGGGCTCCCACAGCCCCCAGCACCATCTCTAGCAAAAAACTTTTCCGTATGTCTTATAACCATGTCCCCTATCTACTGAGGTTCCTGAGAGCAGAGGCTGTGTCTTCATTTATCTATGTCTTTAACATGATGCATTAAATTTATGGTTGTTGAAAAAGCCGGTGAATAAATGAGTGGGTGGGGGAGGTGCAGGGCATGATTGGCAGTCTGCTTAGAGCTCTAGGAGGTAGATAGGGTTACCGGCTTATGGTAACAGTGAGGAGCACACGCTTTGGAACCAGCTCTGGCTGGCCCCGAGGCCTAGGAAAAGTCATTTAACTCGCCTCAGTTTCCTCACCTGTAATAATAGTAGTGAGAACGCATGGTGACCACCTGGCGTACTGCCTGGCAGGTAGGCGTTCCCACGTGTTCCTGTGTTGTTTTTTATGAGGATGCAGTAGCTACACTCACAGCTTTGCCATCGAGGGGGTCCTGGCTCCTCAGGCTTCTAGGACTTTCTCCCACGCTTGCGCCTGCTGATACTTCTTTAGTTCTAGCCACTGCAGTCAGTGACAATTGACAGGTCTCACCTGCCGGTGTCCTTGCGTTTGTGCTGGCAGGCCGCACCATCATTCTCTCCACACACCACATGGATGAGGCGGACATCCTGGGCGACAGGATCGCCATCATCTCCCACGGGAAGCTCTGCTGCGTGGGCTCCTCCCTGTTTCTGAAGAACCAGATGGGAACAGGCTACTACCTGACCCTGGTCAAGAAGGACGTGGAATCCTCCCTCAGTTCCTGCAGAAACAGCAGCAGCACTGTGTCATACCTGAAGAAGGTGAGTTGTCTCCGTGCTAGGCTGGTGCTGGGTCCGGGGAGTCAGGATTTAGTGGCTGTGGATGGCCCATCTGCCTCCACCCCGCTCCACCACGTTGACGCCTCCCTCTCTCTGCCCCGCAGTATCTTTGGAATCACGTCAGGCCATATAAGCGGAAGTCTCAGGAGACTTCTGGTCCCTTCATAGTGAATTCTGTCAAATCCCATTTGCTTTCTCCTGTGGAAGCACGTAGGATGAGTGAGGGAGGAGGTCTTTAGAGGACCTGATCATGTTGAAGACAAGAGACTTGCTGAGGGTGAAGAGCCTGGGCTGCAGGATGCCCTGCTCTTCCTGTTCATCACCCTGCAGTCTCGTTGGCCTCACCTTTTAAACTGCAAAGCAGCCAGCCAACATTTATTGAGCACTGGTTTCATGCCAGACACACTCTAGCAGACTCCAGGCATAGAAGAAAATAATGATGAGAATGAATTCTTCATAGCATTTGTTGTTACTTTGTACGTCTTTTAAAAACATCATCTCAAAGTGGAAAGTAACCCTGGGAAGAAGACATAGTAATACTGTCCCCGATGAAGGAAGTGAGGCTTGTAGTGACCTGGTAGTTTATTCAAGTTCACTCAGCAGGTAAATAATGGAGGTGGGACCAGAACCCAAAAACCAGGTGTGTTTTCCTCTGTACCACATGCCTGAGGTTCATTTGTGTTGAAATCAGTGGCATGTTTACATCCCAACCTTGAGCTCCCTTCCACTTACTTACCTTTTCAGTAGTACCTGGTTATCCCAAGTGTGGTCTGAGGACCAGCCGCATGGGGTTCACCTGGGAGCTTACTAGAAATGCAGAAACTTGGGCCCACCTCAGACCCTCTCAGAATCTGCATTTTAACAAGGTGGCCTGGTAATGAGACACGCATGAAAGCTTGAGAAGCCCTAACTAGCCAGGTGAATCCCATGCCTCAGTGCCTGCTCGTGGCATCCACTGGCAGGCCACAGTTCTGCTGGTGGCGCCGCTTCCCCGTTTCCCACCTGCAGGAGGTGCGGCCATCCCCACGGCACACACGTCAGACAGTGGCCTCGGGAGCCCTCTCAGGAGAGGCTTTTTGCTCTAGTTCACACAGCAGAGCCTCTCGGAAACCCTCCCTGGCGAAGGTGGTGGTGGCTGTGCCTCGCTTGGTCCCTGACCCATTCTCACCTCCTTCTTTGCCATCAGGAGGACAGTGTTTCTCAGAGCAGTTCTGATGCTGGCCTGGGCAGCGACCATGAAAGTGACACGCTGACCATCGGTAAGGATTCTGGGGTTTCTTATTCAGGTGGTGCCTGAGCTTCCCCCAGCTGGGCAGAGTGGAGGCAGAGGAGGAGAGGTGCAGAGGCTGGTGGCGCTGACTCAAGGTTTGCTGCTGGGCTGGGGCTGGGCGGCTGTGGGCAAGGGTGCAGCTTGGTGGCGGATTGGCCTAACGCTTGCTGGGAAGCCTGGGCTTGGGCTGGGAGCTGACAGGGCAGTGTGCCAGAGAGCTGAGACGATTGGGGCTGAGGGGATCCCTTAGGTGAGGGGTGGATCTAGCTGGATACCGGAGACCAGGGGTGCGGAGCTAAGGGCCAAGCCAGTGGGGAGGGACTAGAGCTCAGGAGGGTGGAAGCCTAGGAGATCAAGAAGGGTGTGTAGGGGGCCAGTGTCACCAGTAGCCTTTATGGAACAGAAGCCTTTACCACAGCCATCTCTGCCCAGTCCTAAGAGCCGACATTTTCCAGGAAGACGTCTCCTTTCATAATGAGCCTTCTATTGGGCTAAATAGAAGGAGCCTTTAAAGGTTAGGGAAGGGTGAAGAAGATTTTAAAGTCTGTTTAGTCACATTTTCCATTGAAGAGTCTTAGAGCGTAGGCAGTAGAAACCAGGCTTTCAACCCCAGAGTCATCCATCCATCCATCCATCCATCCATCCATCCATCCATCCATCCGCCTGCCCACCATGCACTGAGCAGCTACACTGTACCTGGTTTTGGTGATACAAAGACATGGTTCTTGTCCCCAGGAACTCTCAGGCCAGAGATGAACATGTAGGATGACTTAAGTGTATGGTCAGTGGGCTTCTGAGGCGTAGGCAGGGCGGAAGGCAGGGAATGGCTGGCCCTCAGCGTGGGGCCTCCAAGCCGGCTGAGCCATCTTTGTGCTCTGGTCCCCACAGATGTCTCTGCCATCTCCAACCTCATCCGGAAGCACGTGGCTGCGGCCCGGCTGGTGGAGGACATCGGGCACGAGCTGACCTATGTGCTGCCCTATGAAGCTGCCAAAGAGGGGGCCTTCGTGGAACTGTTCCACGAGATTGACGACCGGCTCTCAGACCTGGGCATCTCCAGCTACGGCATCTCAGAGACCACCCTGGAAGAAGTAAGTTAAGGGACTGACTGTGAGAACATAACGGGACCAGCAGTCCAAGGCCAGACATGCAGCCTGCATTTCCACTGGCAATAGGATCACCAGGGACCTGGTCACTGAGTCCTTAGGTTGCTGGCACCTGGGTAATGTCAGTCCCAGTTAACCCTTTAAGATTATAGTGGGAGATAGTGGGAAAGAAGTATTAGGATTGCTTCCCGGTGTGGCTGTGTTACAGCCATGCATAGGACATGGCCAGCGTTGATGGAAAAATCTATTTGTGCCAAGTGCTAAGCTTGGTGTCTTTTTAAAAAAAATCATTATAGCTTTATTTAATCCTCCTAACAATATGAGAAAGTGGACACTCAGGGATGCTAAGCCAGGATTTGAATTGGGTTTTGGGCTTCAGAGCTCATGGCTCTCTTTAGAGACACAAATCACAGGCCTTGAGGCTGGAAGGGATATAAAGGTTGTCTGGCCCCATGGTCCCCAAGCTTGACTGTGCAGCAGGATCATCTGGGGATATTATTGACAATCAGAATTCCAAGGCTCAGCTTCAGGGTCTTTGGATCAGAATTTCTTGATGTCTGTGCTTTTGTTGCATGCTTCCTGGGCTGTGGTCTGTAGATCAGAGTTTGGAAATCATTGGCCAAGTTCAGATTCTCTTCTGGTGTTTGAATCCCTGCCACAGCATTTTTAGTGATGGGGAATCCATTGTCCTCTTTGATAATGTATCACGGTGCTGGCCCACTGAAAGGCGGGGCCATGCACCCAGAAGAAGCCACTTGGCGCATTCTCTGTCCGTTTGGAACAAATTTCTTCGGCTGCGGTGCCCTAACACCATAGCTTTAATGTGAAAACAATTGTCTGGGTTGATAGTCCCACGACTGAAGATATGGCCTTTGGTTAAAAAACGGCTTCTCTCCCAAGTGCCACTGATAGAGTGGTGTTGATAAACGAAGCTTCTACTTTTTGTCTTTGGGGCCTAGCATACTATTTGATAATGCAATCATCATGGCAGTGGTGGCTGCTGTCACAACATGGTGTTATGATGTTCTCAATTACTCTTGTTTTTCAGATATTTCTCAAAGTGGCTGAAGAGAGTGGAGTGGATGCCGAGACCTCAGGTAACCCTCCCAGGGGCTGCACATGTTGGGCTGTCTCAGCTCGCTTGTATAAGGCCTTTCCCTTTGAATTGTTTTATCACCTTCTTATTTTTAGTGTATAAGTTTGTTACAGATAGGGAGAGTTCATTTTATTGTAAATAAAATGTGGGCATTCCTCCTCTTTGCCTTCAGATGGCACTCTGCCGGCAAGGCGAAACCGACGCGCCTTCGGGGACAGGCAGAGCTGCCTTCGTCCGTTCACTGAAGACGATGCTGTTGATCCAAACGATTCCGACATAGACCCAGGTCCGTTTGGGCAAGATCTGTGTTCATAGCTTGAAAGTCACTTTCCCTCTTATGTTCTTCTCTGGGGTTATCTTTTGTTGGCCTTGAACCAGGATGGTAGATGGTCTGCAGGGTCCAAAGGAAAGTGAGAAAATGAGAAAAGCCACTTTCCCTTTTCCAGTGTTGCGCATGCAATCAGCCCTGAAAGAGAGAGCCCATCCTCAGTGCCTTCCCTTGAGGTCTTTCTCTCAAGATACACATCTGAAGACGGTCCCTCAATCCTCTGGATCCATTCATTATCTTTTCTGTGGAGTCCCAGTTACTTGCATACCTTAGGTGTTTAATTGTTGAATAAATATTCTTCGAATGGATGGATGATTTTGCAAGAGCCAGAGAGGTGAATTTGCTTTTACACTTAACTGTACCCTTAGACTTAGATCTTTTGGATGAGTGTGTCTCCCTGCGTGTCTGACTGGTATAGAGGAAGGGAGGCAAGAAATCAAGCAAATACTGGTAAGACGTCAAAGCACTGCAGTTAGGAATCACTTGTTAAAGGGGAGGATTTCTATAGGATTTTCAGGAATGGAAACCTTTTTGGCTCTCCCTGCTCATGTGAGTGTGTGGCTCTCCTGTTCTCCCTGACTTCAGACACTGTCTGCACTTAGATCACTGGAGTGTGTCTACCTTTTACCAAAAGTATAATAGATGGGAGTCAAATTGCCACTGTGTGTTCTCAAGTGTCAGCCTATGTACATGGCCTGTTTCATAGAGTGTTCTGTAAGTAATTGAGGATGACCTGATTCATCTGAATGGCTGGATGTAGCACCCAGTCATGTGTGAACACATCTCTTCAGCTGTCTCGGGCACCTTCACTCTGTGCTCTCATCAGACAAGAACTGAAAGGCAGAGCCTGCTGTGGTTGCACAACTGGAGTCCTAACACTTTCTTAGACATGAAGGCCCTTTGCTCCTAAGATACTTTTACCTTTAAACTCAACCTCCAAGATAGTTGCTGAAGGTGCTGGAGGGAGGACCGTGGTGATGAAAGTGCTTAAGATAAGAGGTGACCTTCAGTGCTGGCTTCTTGCAGAATCCAGAGAAACGGACCTGCTCAGCGGGATGGATGGCAAAGGCTCCTACCAGGTGAAGGGCTGGAAGCTCACACAGCAACAGTTTGTGGCCCTTTTGTGGAAGAGGCTGCTGATTGCCAGACGGAGTCGGAAGGGATTCTTTGCTCAGGTGAGAAGTGCTGTTCCAGGCCAAGGACTTGGGCTTCCTGGGTGGGCTGCAGGCTTCCTGACCCGTGAAGGCAGGTTAGCATCATGGTTGTGAGATGGATGCTGGAGCCAGATTATCTGTATTTCAATTCTGCTTCTTGCCACTCATGCATCTACTGGCAATCTCTGTGCCTCAATCTCCTCATCTGTAAAATGGGGATAATAATAGTACTTGTGACATATGGTTATGAAAATTAAAATGAGAAGATGCTCAGAATGGACCTCACATTAGTAATTACTGTGTGTGTGTGTATGTGTATTATAGAGGAGAGCATGGCAAGTACAAAGTTTAGAAAAAACCCACTGGGCAAATTAATCTTTCATAACTTGAGTGATAATATAGTCAGATGCACTTCACATATGAACTTGTTGGAAACTTGGCTTTTCTCTAAGTCATGTTTAACTGCAAACTGACAGAAAAGATAACCAAAGAGGTTAGAAAATACTGACAGAGGGGACCTGTTACACCATTGTCAGCATGTCAGCGTTTGCACGCTAACTCCCTTGGTTAGAGGGGATAAATTATTCCTCTAGAAAATCAAGAAGTATAGAGGAAGAGTCTGCAGAGATTCCTCCTTGCAGACTGGGGGGGTAATGCAACGAATCTGAATCTGGAGCATCCAGGCCTGGATTTGAACCCTGGTTCTGCCTTGTAAACTTGGGCAAGTTACTTAGTGTCTCTGAGCGTCAGTTACCTGTTTGTCGATTGGTGGTAATGACACTACTACTTAGGGTTGTAATGGTCATTAAGTGAGATAATTCTCTCTATAGTACTTTTCTATGGAATTACTCAGTGAAAATTTCAACATTGAAACCCCGGAACATTAGAACCAGGGGTATCATTTGAATCTTTAAGCGTTTGTGTGTTTTTTTGAGGATAAATTTCTCAGGAATATGTGGAAGGAGTTAGAGTTTACTTATAAAGTATGTATAAGTCATTGTTTTCGGAGAAGGTATGGGTGTAAAGTTCGAGGTGATTTAATAAGAATTTAGATAATTACACTTTTTTTTGAGGCCATGGTGGAGACAATAGCTGCTGTTCCCCTTCAATGGAGACGTTGCTGTAGAGTGGCTTTATCACAGTGTGGGTCTGAATGAGTCAGCTCGTCTCAGTCTGCAGATAATAAATGAGAAAACTGAGACCAGAGGGGGGAGTGACTTCTCATGGATACACTTATAGAGACAGAACCAACTTCGGGTCCTCTGGCTTCCAGTCCTTCCTCTGCGCTGAGCAGGGCTCATGGCCCAGCGAGGTCTTTCTCAGGTTTTCAGGGGGAGGTGGGTGGGACCTGGTGTTCCAAGTCACCCTGACATGTGACCACTGTTTACTCAGCTCAATGCCTCTGCCAGGTGGCCATAGCTTCTGGCCTTGTGCTTCCAGCTTCCAGAAATGCCCTGGAGGGAAGAGGTTGATTTTCAGGCTCCATGCTTCCAACCTGCCAAAGGGCCTTGGTGGAGTTTGGCCATAGGCCTTGTATTTCTCACCTGCATGCTGGCTGGTCTGGGAGACTTGTCCCATGGCTGCCTTTCTTTTTTTTCTTTTTTTAAAATATATCTTTATTGATTTCAGAGAGAGGAAAGGAGAGGGAGAGAGAGAGATAGAAACATCAATGATGAGAGAGTCATTGATTGAGCCCGCAACCCGGGCATGTGCCTTGACCAGGAATCGAACCCCAATCGCCTGGATCCTAGGTCAACGCTCAACCACTGAGCCACGCCCGGCCGGGCCCATGGCTGCCTTTCTAACACTTGTCTTTCTGTGATTTCCCTCCCCGCCTCTCCTCCCTGGTTATAGATTGTCCTGCCAGCTGTGTTCGTCTGCATTGCCCTGGTGTTCAGCTTGATTGTGCCACCCTTTGGCAAATACCCCAGCCTGGAACTTCAGCCCTGGATGTACAATGAACAGTACACATTTGTCAGGTATGTGTTTGCCTTCCATACTCAAGGAGAGAGGGGAGCTGATGGACTCGAGAATCACACAGCAGAATGGATTTTACCAGCTGTGGCTGAAGCCCCTACACAACCTAGAATGGCAGTAAACAGAACCTGAGGGAACGGGCCAGTCAGACCCCTGTTGCCACATCTGCGCCTTTCCTCTCTACTGCTGTTGTCAGGAACAGGCACAAGTGTTTTATGTAAATAATCTGCCCTTGCAAAAAATCTACGATTGAGCTATACTATATCTGGGTTTTCATAGCTGTGTTCTAATTTTGTGGTTTAACGCAGGGCTTCCAGACACTGTCAACGCTCTTGTTTTTTTTGCACAGTACAGTGCATATATTTATTATCTAGTCTTTTATGTTGTAGATAGTAGCAAATGTTTGTGCTTTGCACAAAAATATCAGCTACTCTATAACAATCCAGTGCTTCAAACAAAAAGACAAAGGAATTTCTCCATTTCATTACACAGGAGTTTTCTTTGGTCCTGTAGTATTTGTAGACCTTTAACTCTGGGAAATGTTTCAGTGACGTAAAAGAGAAGCTATGTATATAAAACAAAAACAAAACACATAAACATGTGAATTGGCCTCTTTTTCTCCAACCCCACATTTCTTCCTATTTATTCTTTCCTTCCCTAGCTGCTGCCCCTATTGCCCAGGGCCATGGAGCATGGGCTTGCTTTGTGCTTGTAACCTGAGCCCATTATTGTTTGTGAGTTCCAGTTGTCCATACAAACATTCAGCCAATAAAGTCCGCCTGCCCTTTCCTAGAGTAATATCCTGGCTGTCTATGTCTAATGGGTCATCGTGGAAGTATTTTTGAAATACTGATCCTTAATGAATTCATTTACTTCATGTTAAAACATGTATGTCAATGTGTATAATTATGTGTATGTATGTGTATACATGTGCGTGCACACACATACACCTCTGTACATGTAACTTATTTACACAAGCTCCACTTTGGAGTCTGTATGTTACCATGATAGCAAATATATGGGCTGAATCTCAGCTCCTCATGGGTGGGTTCTGTTTAATTCATTTCTGTTTTAAGAGCTTGGCACACAGGAAGTACTTAATAAAGCATTTATTTTTTAATAACATTTCCTCCTTCAAATTTATGGTTTTAATGAATTGCTGAGCTGGCTGCCTCTTCTGTACCCCCAGTAATGACGCTCCTGAGGACACAGGCACCCAGGAACTCTTGAATGCCCTCACCAGAGAACCCGGCTTCGGGACCCGATGTATGGAAGGAAACCCAATCCCGTGAGTGCCCTTCAGCTATGGGACCTCTGCACTGGCTTCTTGCGCTTGCCGCCTGGTTTGGTCTCTAGTACACTGCATTTATCAGTTGAATGCCACACTGCGACTACCATCATTTGCCCTTTGAACCATTTTTTTATGTTTAAAAAGCTGATATAGTAATCTGATAAGACCACCTAGGAGCAAACGTAACAGACTAGGAGAATATTCTAATGTCCAGCAAAGCAAGTTACTAACGACATTTGTTTACTGCTTTAGAAATTAATATTAATTTAAATAGCACTTTATACCTCTCACATGCTTTTTCCTTCCTCCTTCCCCCCAACTCCTGTACCTAAGTACAGAGATAGGCTGCCATGATATATAACCTGCAGTTTTGTTTATCAGCTTCTTTACTGTAACAGCCTGAAAAGATGACAGTTTCTATAAAAATAGATATTTTCTTCTTTTAGCGTTGCATACTTTTATTGTATTCCCCTTCAAAATCTTAAAAAAAAGGAGACAGTGTATAAATAGGTTCAGTTAAAGGGCCATAGATGAAGTAGGTGTGCGGGGCAGGTATGTCCAGAGGTGGCTGTGAGTGAAGACGGTGGAGAGCGGTGAGCTGAGGGGCCCAGCGAGGGTAGAGGTGAGTCCGAGTTTCCAGGCCCAGGCAGCATTTGCACTTGAGGTGGTCAACCACAAACGGAGGAGTTATGGAGAGTGTAGGAAGGTGCAGAAAAACTGGGAAAGGGATAACAAATTCCAGGTTTAAAGGGAAGATACAGACCCTGCCAGTCATGAGCGTGATTCCTGTGTGTGCAGGGTTTTTAGAGCAGGTTTCTAAGTGGGTAGCGATTGTGTACTAATTGGATACTTACTAAACGTTTGCCAGTACTTAATGAGTGGTAAATCCTAGCAGCCAGTGTTGGTTCCTAAAGACAAGGTGACTAAGGTAGAGAAGAATGAAGAGACTCCGCTGGAAAGCGTTGTATGTGAGACAGAATGAGAGGAGACGGTAACGTAGTTACGGTGGACGCAGCGTGTGCCAGCTGAACAGTGTGGGCGCAGACTAATGCCAGCCTGGGACGGGTCATAGGGGCCGGGTCTGGAGTGAGATCTCATCGCGGAGATGGAGAGGCAGGGCCTTGACACCACTGAACGTGTGTGTGTGGGGGGGCAGTCCGATGTGGGGGCCCCACTCCACACACTTTCTGGTTTTTCAGAAAGTGGTGGAGCAGAGGGAAGTTTGACGGGGACACTTCCCTGGGGCATTTAACGTTGTCTCAGCCAATTGTGTGGAGTTTTTAGGATGTGAGCTTCAGGAGGGCGCTGAAACAAGTCATTCTATACTTTTACTGGTGGGGAAAATAAGCCCTGGGAGGGCAGGTGACTTGTCAGGCATGACAGCTCTGTCTTTTGTCACCTGGGGGCTGGCAAACAACCTAGCTCTTCAATGTACCCATTGCTCTCACCTCTGTTTGCCCTCAATTCTCTACTTGTTTTGAAACAAAGTGAATCTTGACATTCTGTACCAGATCATCAGCACATTGAGCATAAGACTGAGACTCCTTTCCAGGCCGGTGTCACCTGGCTCCAGCCTCCTGTTCCTCGTAGCTCATCACATTCCAGCCATACTGCCTTCCTGCCGTTCCTTCAGCAGAAACCTCAGGGCCTTTGCACCTGCTCTTTCTGTCGCTTCTGCTTGTTATGTCCTTTCCCTACACATCTCTGCCTGGCTTGCTCTCTCTCATCGTTTATGTTCTGGCTGAAGTATGTCACCTCTTCAAGCGGCTCCTTTCTTACCAGTCACTCTTCTTTTATTTTGCGACATATTTGCCTATTTTGTATTATTTAATCGTTATCTAACTCTTTGATGGGAACACCAACTCCACGAAGGCAGGGACTTTATCTTGTTCACGCCAGACTCTCAAATGTGCGGGAGAGTGTCTGGCACAGAGTTGATGCCCAGTGAGTATTTTTGAGTGAACACGTGGGTGAGGGATCGCATGCTGGTGGGTTGGAGTTCAGTATATGAGCATTTGCATCCCACTGTTCTTATCCGTGAAGTGAGTTCCCAGCTTACAAGTCTATGGAGGGATCAGATAATCAGACGGTGAGGAGGTCGATGCATGTCTGCGGTTCTTACTGACCCCGCCCTTGCTCTCTTCCCTTTGCAGAGACATGCCCTGCTTGGAGGGGGAGGAGGAGTGGACCACGGCCCCCGTCCCCCAGACCATCATGGACCTCTTCCAGAATGGGAACTGGACGATGGAGAACCCCTCGCCCACCTGCCAGTGCAGCAGCGACACAATCAAGAAGATGTTGCCCGTGTGTCCCCTGGGGGCAGGGGGGCTGCCTCCTCCACAGGCGAGTCCCTCACCAGGTGTCACTGAGCAGTCAGTGGTGCAGGGTGGGCTGGGGAAGGACTGGATGATATGTTGGGGGGTGTCTCTCTCAGTCTTGATCTTAGTTTTTATCATGGGGTAAAACATGTGAGTTTTGAGGGGAGGGGCTTGAATTACTTTGTTCCTTTATCTGAGGGAGCTCAGCTGGTTTCTTTATTTTGAAGAGTCAGCCTGGGTTACTTGTTTGAGTTAAAACCAGAACACAACACTCTGGGCCAATGAGCTGTGGAAGACACACTTGGGCCTCTGTCCCCTGAGTGTGGTGTCACTGGACAGACAGCGATAGGCCCAGCTTTATCCCAGGCTGTGCCACAGATGAGCTGGTGACCTGGGACAGGCCACTCTGAGTCCCTGGGCCTCTGAATTGGGGAGGCTGGCCTGTAATAGTTTCGTGGGTTTTGCCAAGTCCGACATTCTGAGTGTGGGTTGCAGTTCTGAGCCATTTTTTCTGAGAACGGTTTCAGGATGAGGCTCGCTTGTGAAAGCCGTCTGCTGCTTTATCAGCATCTGGGTTGCAGGGTTTCGGTTACCTCTCTTTAAAATAATAGCTAATCTGTTCATCAGTATAACACCACTGAACAAAGAATTCACCAGGCATAGTCAGTGATACTGTGCCCAATAAACCTTTTGTGACTATGAAAATTAGATTTTAGAGTCTATTGTTCGGCTTGGCCTGGTTTGGATTAAGTATATGGCCAGAGCCAAGAGCAGAATGAACCAGGCTTTGGTGGTTGTCTTGGCAGTGCCTGGGCCTTGTGGGCACTGGCTGGTCACACTTGTGGTACATGTTTGAGGGATATGTGTCAGTTTAGTCCTTGATTTGCTTTCTGTCTTAGTTCCGGTCCATAAAAACACATGTGCTTGGGTTTTTCTGTGATAACAGAGAAAGCAGAACACCGAGGACATCCTTCAGAACCTGACGGGAAGAAACATTTCGGATTACCTGGTGAAGACATATGTGCAGATCATCGCCAAAAGGTCATTCTTTACTAAACTTGGTCCTTGCTTTATCATCACTGATCAGAGGAATTTAAGACCTAAAAATACTAGACCGAGTAGTAGGGGAAACATCTTATTTTGGTTTGAGGTTGTCTTGGAAGCTTAGGATGTTCTTTCAAAGTAGATGAGGTGAGAACTGTGATGAATGTTCATCTGTCAGCTTCAAGACTGAGTCTGCCTGGTTCCAGAATGAAAATAAATCTGGACTCAAATTCTCATTCTGCCGCTTACTAGCTGTTTGATCAGGGGTCACCATTTATCCTTTTAAAGCCTCGGTTTGTGTAAACTGTGAAAGCAGCTCTGCTCTTAGGAGTTTGTTGTGAGGATTAAATGAACGATACATATAAATATCTCTTATGGATGGGATTCATGGCAGCCCTGGCCGTGGAGTCTTGGAAGAGCCACGTAGCTTCATGGGGCATCGCAGTGTAATGTTGACTGCTAAGCTGATGCTCAGGAAATATCCGGTTTCCTTCCTGTTAGTTTGGTCAGTTGGGCTTCTCGGGGGTTCTCTGTGACTTCAGATGACAAGGGTATGCTTGAATGACAGTTACTGTGAGTTTCCAAGAAAGTCATCCATAATCGATGCGTTACTTTGAATTTAAAAAGTTCCTGATTTGAGCACATCTTTGTCTATAAGTTGGTTTCTGAGTTGGTTTAATCCAAGGCACGAATTTCACGTACATAAGATTTTAAGAATGGGAGAAAAAAATGACATGCTGAGTAGGGCTTCTTCCCATACGCACAACCGCACGCCACGAGCCTGATCCTCGGGTTATTTCTGACCCTCTGTTGTGTCATCAGGTAGATAGTGACTCCTTTTGTGTCATCAGGAATAGGACTCGTGTTTCTTTGGACTGATTTTTGGTTTGTCTTTGGCTTCTGCAGCTTAAAGAACAAGATCTGGGTGAATGAGTTTCGGTAAGTTGGCCTCTTCCTGTGCTTTCCTCTGCTTGCCTGGACTCCCGGAGATCAGGAGGGTGGTTCTGATGCAGGCGTCTTGGGCCCCAGGAGGTTGTTACTTTCGGGGTTGCGTTGCCCTCAGTGTTCCTGCTCAGTGGCGAACATTCGGCACCCCGACTGCCTCGAGGAGGCCTGAGAGATTTCTTACGATAAGGTGCGGTTTAAGGAAGCACAGTGTGTGCGGGGAATACCTACATTAGCCACGCTTTGCCCCTAAGCCAGATTCCTGGGGTCCTCTTGGATGAAATAAGAGGCATCAACACAATATTTTCTCTGTATTTCCACACATGTATCCCTGTGGGATTTGATGGAACAGGTGGGACCAGGGAAGAAAAGAAGGAAGAATACTTGAAGCTGATTTAATATCTTATGGAAGATGGGCGGCCTTACGTGGCTGCCTCACAGCGTGGCTCTTGGGCGCTGCATTCTGCTGAACTCTTTGTCTTTTTCCTGAGGGCCTGGACCCACAGGACTCTGAGCAGAGCAGACTGAGGCCACTATAGTTGTCCTCCTGCTTATAATAAACCCCCTCTAGCCTCGCTGGTCAGCGTCCTCACTCCCTGTCCTGACTTCCCGTCTGCTTGTCTTGAGACCCAAATTCAGACCTGAGCACCAGGGTGGGAGGAGCGTCTGCCTATAATCAGGCCCCCAGATCCTTCCTACTTGGGCAGGAACCCTGAGGGTAAAGAAAGAGATTGCCCGAATCCACTAGAGAAGGCCAGGTCATCACTTTCTGAGTCTAACTCCGGCCCAGCTTTGAGTAGGCAGTTCATCTACAGGAAGCATGTAGACTCAAATGGTGCCTGCTGCTGAGGGATACTGTGCCCTGCACTCTCTCTGTTTAATGTCAGGCTGTTCTTACAGGTATGGCGGCTTTTCCCTGGGCGCCAGCAATTCTCACTCGCTTCCTCCAAGTCAAGAAGTTAACGATGCCATCAGACAAATAAAGAAACACTTGAACCTGGCCAAGGTACAGTACCTATCCCAGGACGTGTCAGAAAAGGGCCCGGAGTTGCTGGTATGTGGGAGCAGGTGGCAGGTACATGTGATCACCTAGCACCTCATTGTTTAAGACTTTTGAGTCCAAAGTCATCACCCGCAGTTAGCGTCTTATGCCAGCCAAGACTGAGGCACGACTCAGTGAGCAGTCAGTATCTGAAAGTGTAGACCAGAAACAAATCTAGAGACTAAAAAGTCTCTCATAGGAACTTAAATTTATGAATTTAGCCAGTAGGTAAATAAATTTCGAATCAAAAATACTTTTCTAAAGCAATCACTGGTTAAACAGGATATGAATTAGTTTCTTTAAGTGTTCAGCCGACTATAGGACTCAATAAACATTCACTTCATTTCTCTGTACCTGAAGTTTCTTATTTTTAAGTAAGAATTGAGCAGTCAGATGATATGGATGCTAGGATCACAGACAGCAGGGATATTCCGAGAGTCTGCTTCTCTGCTTTTGAGGCCCAGACCCCATGAGTCTGACACATCTGCATGTTGAGTGTAGTCGTGGGTCTTGGGATGTCGCAGGGGAACATTTTGAAGACTCCTCACCCCTCCAGTTATAGAGAGACATCAGAGTCTTGGGACTTTGAATCCCAGGGCTTCCCTGCGGTTCCTTAGAGATGTGTGGCTCATGGCAGCGTCCACACTTTAGATTTCTGGTCATGTGTTTCTCAGTGGCTTCAGATTTCGTTTTCCCGAACAAGGTAGCCGAGGTGCCCTTCCCAAGGTTGTCCTGTGGCTCTCGAGCCATCTCAGCTGAGGCAGGTTTCTGTTGTTCACAGGACAGCTCTTCAGAACGATTTCTCAGCAGCTTGGGAAGGTTCATGACAGGACTGGACACAAAAAACAACGTCAAGGTAAAGCCCTTTGTTCTGTAGCTTCTCGACACACAATCATCCTGATGTTCCCTGCAGTACTGTTCAGCTCATGGTAGCATTGCTGGGATAGGCATGGACAGGAGCAGTCTAGTACTTTTACTAGAGTTTTACGAGGACCCATGGAATATACTGATTAAGAGAATTTGCTTTGCCACCAGACAAACCAGGCAAACTGTTGTGACCTTGACCAAATTACTTAACCTCTCTAAGCCTCAGTTTCCGAATCTCTAACATGGGGTCAGTCCCCATGGCTCTCAAAGCCGTGTGAAGATTAAACAAATTAAACATAGAAGGTAGTCGGCACCATGCCTGGCCACACTGCCAGGGCTCAGCTCAGTGGATCCCGGTTGCTGCTATTGCTTCATCATGTTCTCTGACTGTAATGTTTTGTCTCAGCATGTGGCTGGAATTTCTGGAGTTTATAGGCATGTTGTGTGTGTGTACCCACCTCCAGGAGCAGGGTTTGGGGGCATCACCTGGTCCCTCGTGTGCTTTATTTCAGGTGTGGTTCAATAACAAAGGGTGGCATGCCATCAGCTCCTTCCTGAATGTCATCAACAACGCCATTCTGCGGGCCAACCTGCAGAAGGGTGCGAACCCCAGCCAGTATGGGATCACTGCTTTCAACCACCCCCTGAATCTCACCAAGCAGCAGCTCTCAGAAGTGGCCCTGTAAGTGTGGCTCTGTGGGGCCAGGTGGGGCCAGGAGAGGGTGTTGGGGGTAACCGTGGAGCAGGGAAGGAACCGTGAAGCTGGGGGTAGAGTAACAGCTGGGGAAGCACATTAGGGTATGTCTGGGTTGGTCCAGGCTCTGGACAGAAAACGATCAGTTTAGGAGTTGGTCGGCAAGGAATAAAGTGGAACAAAGTGAATGCCACCAGGCCAGGCTCAGGCTCCCTTTAATAGTTCCATTATGACAGTGGACTCTCTTTAACCTCAGTGGAATCAGTTTTGCATTTGAATTGTCAGGTTTGGGGTGGCTTTGCTTTGTTTTGTTCTTTTTTACTTGAAAATAATCATCTTTATCCCTGAAAACATATATACGGACAGCAGGTTATTTTTCCCTGGGCTATGCTTCAACCCTTCGTGCGCATGTGTGTCCCCTCCTGATTGAGTCTTCAGTTGCATCAGTGGCCCCTCATATCCTCACTGCCTTTTCTTCCAGGATGACCACATCAGTGGATGTCCTCGTGTCCATCTGTGTTATCTTTGCAATGTCCTTCGTCCCGGCCAGCTTTGTCGTGTTCCTGATCCAGGAGCGGGTCAGCAAGGCAAAGCACCTGCAGTTCATCAGCGGAGTGAAGCCCGTCATCTACTGGCTCTCCAACTTCGTCTGGGATATGGTAAGGACGCCGCTCCGCTCCGCTGCTGCGGAAACCTCCGTCGGGCCGTGCACTGGGTGAAAGAGCCCCTGGCTCTCTCGTAAGGGCGTTCTCGCTCGTCTAAAGATGAATGAGAAGGGAAAAGGCAGAGGCAGCTTTATTCATTCATGTCGCCAAACATGGTGTTAGGTACCGAGCTGACCCCACGCCAGAGAGAAACCCGTCCACACTGACTGCAGTTAACGCCTCCACCAGCACCAGCACCACCTAATTTCCTAGTGGAAAAGGTTTTTAGAGAAGCATGGGAGTGGGAGACTTAGTGAAAACTCCAAGGCCTCTAACTTGTCCGGTAGGTGCTAACCTCCAGCGTCAGGGCGTTCTTTGTCTTACTAGGAAATCTGTCATTTGAAAACGTTACGCATTTTACCAAGACACTTAGGCATCTGTCGCAAATTAGTGTTCATGCCAGCTGCAATGGGTTGCTTTTGTTCAGGACAGCAAGGAGGACTTCAGAGAATTCGGAAGTTCCAGTTTTTGTAAGTGGAGTTGAAATATGTCCCCGCTATGAAACCCATTCATTGTAGGCCAGACAGAGCACATTCAATTCTTCCCCCACTGGGTCGCCCCTCAGATATGTGGAGACGACTTCCATTGAACCCAAGTCTTCGCATTCCTGAACCTAAGAGGTTGCATGAGAACATTTTGTGGCCTCCAAAGCACAGTACACGTGGGTGATGCTCAGGATGGTGATGTCTGTGCCGCTGAGAGCGAGCCTCTCAGTGCGTCGCTCTTCTGCTCCGATTGCCTTTGGATGGCCGTGCTCCATGTTGTTAATGTCCCTGTTGAAGAGCAGCACCCAGGATTAACCTTGTGTGCAGGCTGCCGCCGGACTGGTCACGTCTGAATGGTTTCGAGGCTGGAGGGAGTTGATGTTTATCCCTCACTTCTATTACGCGGCCCAAGGGCGTTGCGTTTTGGAAGCAGCACTGCCTTGTGGGTAACTGGGTAGTGAACGGAAGTCTCTATTTGACAGGTATTGTTAAGTGGGTCGCTTTCGTTCTATTCTAATGCAGCTTTTTTTTGAGCCTAAACTTTTATATTGATCCCAGTTAAACTGCATTTTGTTTACTGTTTGCTTTTATCTTGATCCAGTAATTATTCAACAAACACATTCTGCGTGCTCACTGTGTGTCTGACTCTGCCAGGCATAGGAGATTCAGAGATGAAAGAGCAAGTCCCTAAGTCAGGAATGTCCCTTATCTTCCTGTGTATTATCTGCCCCTCCAGTGTTTTAGAGCCTCTGATGTTGGCTAAGTTATGTCTTCATCTGATTTTTGATAAACACGTTGAGTAGAAATGAGACTGAAGCCGAGCCCTGTGGTCTGAAGCTGCAGATTCTTCTTACGGTTGACAAACCCACCGTCACATCCCTGCCTGTGCTTTGTTCTGCCAGCTATAAAGTATCACAGTTGTCTTAGGGATAGGTCTTTATTGGTGCACTTAAAATTTATTTTTATTTTTGTAGAGAATTTATGTAAGAGTTTATTTGAGCCAAAATGACAACATATGCTGGGAAGCAAGATATCAAATGCTCCGTATTTGTGCATTTTAATTCCTGGTACTCTGTCAGGAGAGACTTTAAGATTATCCTCAGTGTGATGAAACAATTCTGACATTCATATTATAAGCACTTACCTCATAAATAGATTACATGTGAGATTGGACCTGGGCAGACTGTAATGTAGCATTAACGATTAAACAGACCCAGTCATCTTCGGGAAAAATAGTTGAAGCTTATTTGCTGCCCGTGGAATGGAAATTACTCTGACCGGGGATCCATCGTTCAGTAGGTTTACTGAGCGTGACACCTTGGCTTAGCTGTTGGAAAGACAGAAAGGGCATTCGGTTTATAAAACCAGCCAAGGGTAAAATGCTTGTCAAAATGTATTGTCCAGTATGTTGATTAATAGTTTATGCGGCTTCATTAATTCAGAGTTATTCTTCAATATGTTTCTCTGCCCTTTCTTGTCCGGTGATGGTGAAGACTTGGGATTCATTGTATCTTTGACGCAGGGGTGAACTTCATTTCCTTGTTTCACTTTCAGTGCAACTATGTGGTCCCCGCGACGCTGGTCATTGTCATCTTCATCTGCTTCCAGCAGAAGTCCTACGTGTCCTCCACCAACCTGCCTGTGCTCGCCCTCCTGCTTCTGCTCTACGGGTAAGGCGCCCCGGGTGGGCGACAGCAGCGGGTAAGGCATGCGGTGCCCGGCGTCAGCGGGGGGCAGGGGACAGACGCCCCGTGGACACCTGTCTTGGTGCCTCCCCAGGTGGTCGATCACGCCTCTCATGTACCCGGCCTCCTTCGTGTTCAAGATCCCCAGCACGGCCTACGTGGTCCTCACCAGCGTGAACCTCTTCATCGGCATCAACGGCAGCGTGGCCACGTTCGTGCTGGAGCTGTTCACGGACAACGTGAGTTCCGCCGGGAGAGCCGCTCCTGCCGGGACGCGCGTCTCGGGGGCCGGGGGACGCTGTTTAATCGTGATCCTGCTCCGCTGGTCTGTGTGTGGACACCGCCTGCCACTCTGTTCTTTATCAGATTCTCTCCCTCAGCTTTGCGTGGTGCCTCTGCCTGCCTTTTCCTTACCCTTCTCTGAGCAGACCTTTCCGATTCCTCTGATGAGTTCCTTTGTACTCCTTTCTGCTTAAACGTTGCTTTTCCAGTAATTTTTCATCGGCTATCTTTGCTTTCCACTTCAGATGCCGTCTCCGGGTGGCACCATTCATTCCGGGGGCTTTTACCAGCACCTGCCTCAGTGTCGTATGTTGTGGCCTCTCAGTTCTGTGCCTTCAGTCCTGATGGTTCCCTTGAACTCTAGCCTCACATTCTGCTGGGTGCTTAGCCACGTTTCAATAATTTACAGATACCCCACACAAGACATGTCTTAATTATCTTTCCCCTTAGAACCTAACGTTTCTCCTGCCTTTCCTGTCACGCGGGGTGGCATTACCATCCACTCAGTCACCCGAGCTGGCGACATTTGAATTGTCTTACATGCTTTGCTTTTGTTTTCCCCCACATTCCACTGGTTACCTTGTCTGTTCTTCCAGTTACAGATCTCTTAAACAAGTGTCCCCATCCATTCCTGTTGTCATCGCTTTTGTCCAGACACCTCAACTTGGCACGTAAGGCCTTCTAGAGGTGCACAACCTTTCCTGGCCAGTTCCCACCACAGCCTTTCCCAAGGGGCTGCAGTCTTCAGCTGAGTTGTCCCTTAAAGCCACCATGCTACTGTAGGCCTGGCCTAAAATGCCCTTCCTCTGGCACAGAGACCGGTCTGCTAGTATCTGATTGACCCTTCCAGATTGAGCTCGAGTGTGAAGCTCTCCTTTCCTGCCCTCTGGGAGCTGCTCTCTCTTGTCCCTGTGCTCCCAGAGCCCCCAATTCATGACTCCATCCAACTCACATCCAACAGTGTGGTAATTTCCTGTTTCCATGTCACTCTTTCTCAGAACAGAGACTACTTCTTATTAACTTTCGCCTCACCTGTGCCCTAGCACAGTACATCCAGCATATATAACTTACTCAGTTGCTGGATAGTTGGCTACTGCTGGCTTAATGTATTCAGGAAGAATTATTTAAATTTCCACAAAATCCTGAAACTGAACTATTGACCCAGGCACGAGCAATTTGCTTTTAAATTGCTAAGAAACATTTTGACGGATTTGCTTCTGATTAAACATAACCATGTTTCACAACTTTGCTCGTGTTTCCCCATACTCGCAGCATCGTTCCAGGTTTTCTGAAGGGCAGAGTTTTTATTACGTTACCTATCATCAGCTATGGCTGCTGCTGTTTGCTGGTATCTGAATTCAGAGGTTGAGCTTGACCTCAGGGAATCAGATGTTTTCTCTCCCATACCTCAGACCTTGATACATTTTTAGCTTAAACCACGAGTGACGTCCAGTCTCCCTCTGTCTTATTTTTTTTTAGAAGCTGAATAACATCAATGATATCCTGAAGTCCGTGTTCTTGATCTTCCCACACTTTTGCCTGGGACGGGGGCTCATTGACATGGTGAAAAACCAGGCGATGGCTGACGCCTTGGAAAGGTTTGGTGAGTGACGGCAGGGGTCGAAGGGTGTTTTACTGGAGGTGGCGGTTTGCATGGGCCTTGCTTCTCTGGCCTTGGTTTTGGAAAGAGGCTGGTGACTGGGCACAGGACTTCCCCCCACTGACGAGGCTGGTGACAACACAGCTGGTTGTCGCGTGGGTCTTGTAACACAGCCACTTGTGCCTGTGATAGCACTGAGAACAGCGAGTGGGCAGTTTCAGAGGTGAGGAAAAACTGCTTTGAGCATGAATCCAGTGCCTGATGCCACTGGTTGGGATTGTCAAAGTCACTGCAAAAGTCAAACCACAGCCTTGAGAATTAGGCACAGGCCGGGGAATCAGAAGGAAAGATGCAAACTTTGGCTCATTAGGAAAATCATGAGTCTGCAGATGTGGCCTATATTATTTTTTACATGGTCTATAAGGAGGGAATTACTGCAGCTCTTTCTACTTTTATAGTCTTCAGAAGTATTTCTAAGGTGCTCTCTGATTTTTCTTAGTGAAACTTATAATTTGTTAAAATACTGACACAAAACATTACCCCGGATTGTCGCCGTTTTACAAAGGATTTTGGCATCTCATTAAAAAGGAGACATCATATATATATATATATATATATATATATATATCTGAGATGATGTTACAGATCTAGTACACGTTGGCTCTGAAATTCTGATTGATACTGAATCGCAGTATGTTTCCCCAAAACCTTACCTTAAATGAGACTTGGACAGTGGTCACTCCCTTATAGTTTTCTTCTTCTCATGGGTGATGACCACTGGTGTTTCTAGGAAGAGGGGTGACTCTGAGCCTGGATTTGAGGAAGGGCCTGGTCCTCGGTGCTTCCGCTCTGACTGGCTCTCTGCCTTGTGTCCCCCAGGGGAGAACCGCTTTGTCTCGCCGCTCTCCTGGGACCTGGTGGGACGCAACCTGTTCGCCATGGCTGTGGAGGGGGTGGTGTTCTTCCTCATCACTGTCCTGATCCAGTACAGATTCTTCATCCGGCCCAGGTGAGCTTTTTCTCAGAACTCACGGAGCAGCGGTGTGAGGGTCACAGAGGAGAAGCGCCTAGAAATACTTGTCAGTGGTGTTTGAAGCAAATTGAACTCAAAGCAGGTAACCACACTGTGTTCCTAATGTGGACATCCCCGGGCCCCATCCCTGCCAGTCCTGAAAGCTGGAGAGTAGATTTTATAGGACTGCTTTAGAAATGGTCTTTCTCTTGAAAAATCACTGGAAAGTTGACTTTTCTTAAATTTTCTCCCCCCAAGACCTGTAAATACAAAGCTCCCTCCTCTGAATGATGAAGACGAAGATGTCAGGCGGGAAAGACAGAGAATTTGTGATGGTGGAGGGCAGAATGACATCTTGGAAATCAAGGAGCTGACTAAGGTGAGGCTACAACAGCTTGTCTTTAAATGTTTGAGCTTCATGTGTTGGAAACCAGCATTTTGCCGACTTGCTTAATAAAAGGAGCATGTGTCTCAAAACGTGCATCTACACCAACCTTCTATTAACTTTATTTAAAGCACACCGTGGGGACTTCTTAATCAAAGAACTCCTGCTTAGAATACCTTTGTAATGGGAACCCTCATTCTTGACCGTATGAGTGTTGTATGCCTGGTCAAAGTTAAGTAGGGAGACCAAACGGCTGATTTGTTTGAGTCCAGAGAGCGGATCGACCTCCACTGCTCAGGAGGAGGGTCTGTTTCATTCCTCTCTAGGTGCCAGAATCCCAACAGTCCATTGTTTTTTTGTAATATGTACAGTAGTTGCAATGTTTTGATTACAAATTTTTACCCTGCAGAACTTAGCTTTTAAAAAAATCTATAATATCTTTATATAGTAAGTAGATGAAAAATTATATAGACATTAATGACCAATGTTTTGTAAAAGGTTGATATTAAAAATAAAAAGCTCACTTGTATTTTGAGCTTCAGAGTCATTCAAACGCTAGTGCCACAGAGATAGACCAAAGACCAAGGCTCTTAGCACATCTGTGACTTAGTCTTATGGATGAGTTTATTTCGTGATGTGTGTGGGCTCTAATTCCCTCTCCCAGAGCTGCCCGGGGTCACTGTGAATCACTGTGGCTCACGAACGTTTGCATTTTGTTTGCAGGTGTATAGAAGGAAGAGGAAGCCTGCTGTGGACAGGATTTGTGTTGGCATCCCTCCTGGCGAGGTACAGGCACTTTCCCTACATTGTCCTTAGGGGTAAAAGCGGCATTTAAAGACTTGACAATTTGTATCTATGTGAAGCAGTCGGTCATTGAGAGGATGGGGACTCCATATGTCAAAAGAGAATGATTTTGGATAAAGTCTCAGGCAGTGTAAGAAAAACATGCATGCCCAACACATGATCTGTTCGAGATGATGATGAAATTCAAATAGATTTTTTAAATTAGATTTTCTCTCGTCTCATTCTTGTTTGTATTCTTTTATGCCCTTTAACCAGATTAGATAGTGAAATTTGACTAGTTGGCTTTCATTGGTGTTTTTTACTCATTAACTTTGGCTTCAACTTAAGGACTCAGATGATATTACAAAATATGCCCACACTTAAAATGATCCCATTATAAAATGGGATCTGCTTAAATGTCCATGTGATTCCTTAAGGGAAAGAAAACCTTTCACTCTCCATTGCTATTTGAGAACGATAGGGTCACGTTATATAAAAACCAAGCTGAGGTGACTATGGATTTCGTAATGGTTATTTAGATTGTAATTTGCTGCTACAATTTACTGAATCTTTTTCAGTGCTTTGGGCTCCTGGGAGTTAATGGGGCTGGGAAGTCGTCAACTTTCAAGATGTTAACTGGAGATACCACTGTTACCAGAGGAGATGCCTGCCTTAACAAAAATAGGTGAGAAAAGAAGGGGTCTGTATTTTATTTACATATTTAAATACATTCTTATGACCACAACAGTACTATATAGAGTTTATAAAAATAGTGAAATACAGTAAAGAAGAAAATCAATTATTTGTAATCCCACTACCTAGAGATAACCACTACTTATATCTCCTTTCAGTCTCATACTGTTTTTTAACAGCTTTATTCAGGTATAATTTACTTGTGTCATATATAATTTACTTGTTATAAGAGCACAAGTCATAATTTTTAGTAAATATACAGTTTCGCAACCGTCATCTCAATCCAGTTTTAGAACATTCCCATCATCCAAAATTTATTTTTTATATATACATGTAAATGTATTATAAAATTGAATCATACTATATCTAGATTTTGAAAATTAGTTTTCATGGTTAATGAGTATATTATGACTATTTCCCAAAAGGTTACATATTCTAAGATGTTGAATTTTATATTCTGCATAAAGTTCCCTTATTTCCTATACCTGTAGTTTACTTAATGAATTTATTATTGTTGGACATTTATTAGTCTGCTTTTCACTATGTAAATATGCCCTTGTACGCATCTGTGATTATTTCCTCAGGGAAAATTCCTATAAGGTAAAAGCATATGCACCTGCCAAATTGCCCTTGCTAAAGGTTGCATCGATGTATGAGGCCACCCCCAGGCTAGTATCTGAGAATGCACAGGTCACTCCGCAATCTGATCATCAGGGGTGCAGCTCCACCTCAGGGGACTGTAGGCACTGTTACCCTTGAGCACTTGAAATACCTGGGGCTCCTCTAGGCTTTTTATATGGAGATGGTACAAGGCAGTGGCTTTTGACCTTTTCTGACCCTGACCCATGCTAGCAGGTATATTTTACATCTAAACCCAGTAAATACAAAGACATAAACAAGCACATAATAAAGGCTCCTAAAACAATACCCACTGTTACTACGCGTAGTGCACTCTGATATTCTGATATTTCTTACTCTTCTCTATACTATGTTGTTAAAAAATACTGGTTGTGACGAAGTAAATTTATTTCACTTTTTTTTTCACTAATGGGTGATGACTCACAATTTGAAAACAATGGGGGTG